ATTTCAGTAACAGTAGATATTACCAGCGTTAACAGGAAGTCACGTAATACTGACTTGAGAACAAAATTTGGAAGAAATACGAATACATCTTAATTCGATTCAATTGAAGTCTTACTGTATTTGAAGTAACAGTATAATGAGCTCAAATTTTTTTAATAATACTGAATTTAATTTTTTAATTTATTTTTTTAATTTAATAAAACTGAAGATTCATATCGTGATATGGAAAAATAAAATATTTTAATTCTATGAATAAACTAATGTTGATTTTCTATTTTTTTTGTAGTGCTTTTCTCAGAGCAGCGATTTTTCTGACAACTTATATTTAATATTTTTGTCATAAAAAAAATCTACTATATTGCACATTAAAGTATATTAAAATTTGATATAGTCATTCTACAATCACATATAAAACTCATTGAGATTTTTTTTGTTTAGTTAATTATCTCTTATTTTACTATATAAGTATTATATAAAAAATGAATTTTAGATTCCTTCGCGAGTAATAATCGAGTGAACTCAGATCTGGTGAGAGAGGTAGTCAAGTAATAGGACTTGCACGACCTATCCATAAAACAGGTTGCAACTCAGAAACAAGGTCATATCGGATATATATACTTTTTGTTCTTCTTATTTTTATGTCCCGAATCCAACATTATAATACTTCCCACTCATTAGGAAATATCCCTTATAGGATATTCGGTTGCATCAGTAACAAGTGTAACGGGTGTGGGTACTCTACACATTAAAAATAAGGAAAAAAGAAGTTTATATAAATATATGTATTCAATGCGACCTTGTTTTTGAATTACAATTTGTTATCTTGTACAGTGTTTTTCCAAACTTGAATCGATTACTATATTTTTACTTATGGGGACATTTAAAATCGGTTGTTTACAAAAGTCCAGTAGTGATAGTGTTGAAATACTTCGTTAACGTATCGATCAAGGCTGCTTTCAAATCCACGTAACGCTTTTAACGCAACAATCAGCCTATTCCAATGCGTTCGACAATTGATAAGACTCATTCACAATTGTATTAAAACTTTAATTAAATGATCACTTCGCAGTAGACAAACAGATATTACAACATAAATAAACTACCACTCGAAAATAAAATCACATTACAGATATATGTTCAAATATGAACTTTCTTTTTTATTTTACAATTAATATAGAATCCGTCCTTGTTATACTACCCACGTACAGGTGAACACCCTTTATTGTCGAGTAGTCTAATAAGTGTTACTATTTCAAATATTATAATACTACCACGTTTCATTATATAATAACATTTTATATAATAGCATTTTATAATACATAATATTATTATGTTTAAGATGATAATTATAGTTTTTTTTTTTATAAAACTATAAGTAACTTCGTTATTATTGATTTCATAAATGCTACAAAAATTCTAAAATCAAATATAATTTAAACAAAAAGAAATGATCAAGGATAAAGTTACATTATTTCAAAGGACATATTTGATAATGGAAATAATATTGTATTTTTCCAAGGTCATTTGGTTACGAGAATTCAAGATTATTGATATATTTATAATTAGAACCCTACGATTTATTTTTTTTATATGAATACATTCCTTTTAACATTCTGAGTAAAGAATATTAAAATAAAAAATTGAACAATGATAAATTCTCGAGGTATTTTGAAACAATGTTTTGTAATTCGCGTAAATGTCACAAGTAAATACATTGTTTTATAATGAATTATTACATGTTTAATACAAAGTGTATTATTAATGTCTCGCAAAAAGAAATGTAATCGTGAATTATGTAGTTCATGTTGATTCATTTTTTCTTACTTTAATCCAAAAAAAGATATAGTTTATTACAGTTGTGTAAATCACTAACATTTTTTAAAAATGCCTCGCGAACTAATCACTTGTCAACCTTGTCTGAATAATTTTTTTAATCAGAATAATATTTTAAAGTAATTCATGTGATAACAATTCGTATAAGATATCTTTTAAAAAATTACCGATAACCTTGAAATTTCATTGAAAAAGTAACCTTAAAAAAGAAAATTATTTTCCTTATTAAACAAAGTAAGGTAAACTTTATAAAGTAAATTAAACTTTTTTATCTTTCTCTCTTCCTTTCATCTTTTATTTATTTTGAGCCTTAATATTTGAAGTTTTAGTAATTATTATATGTATTACTGCATATATCATCGGTTATATCAAATAGATAATTTTTTTGGTGTTTACTCAAGTATGATTATTATTTTCCGACATTACGTTATAAATCCAAATGAATGAACCATTTTAAAGAGTTTTTCTATAGAAAATAAATGAAAATATTTTAAATAACAATATTTTTTGCGTATGGAACATTATACAATGTGGATAAAGTTATTGACCTACTCTATATATCATTGAATATATACATTGTTTATTATATTTGTTTAATCACGAATATCATTGCTGGAGAGTCTGGATAAATGTAAAACAAACTTTCCTTGTAATCATTGTCTCCCTCGTTTATCTTTTCTTTATTTCGACCTTTAACCAATTATAATATTTTTTTACAATTAAAAAAGAATCCGAAGTATCACATAGTGTCGTATATAATCGTTCGTAATAAATTTCGATAGATTCATTCTGGCGTTTCGAAGAAAGTTATTCATTGGTACAATCACTCAGCCACGAAATATTATCCGGAGCAAAGTGATTAGCGTTTACTCATAAAACACGTCGAAATATTATTTCAAAACGGAAATTGAGCAAACGTGAAGCATTTTTTATTATTTACTAACATAAACTAACATTTCTTTTCCTTTTTCAACAAATTGACAAAAAATATATAAAGGGAAGATGAGAAAGTAATGTTTTAGAATGAATGTAAAACATGATTTTAAAATGACATATAGTTAAGAATCAATGACTATTCTTGCAGGTCAGGGACGAGTTATACCAATGCTTGGTTTCAACGACTCGTACCTGTTGTTCTTATTGTTATTATTATTATTATTATTATTATCTCCCCATTGACTTATTAATATATTGAACGTATGTATATTTTATGCATGTATAAGTATATATTAAGAAACTACAATAATTACAACGTTTAACTGTTTTTCTACTTATAAACTTACTAAATGCATATGTACTTATACATATGTATACACTCAATCATGACGCTCTCATTATACTGATATTGTTCTTCGATTTGATCCAATCATAATAGATCACAATGTTAATAATAAGAGTACATATACGAAAAGACTATTCTTGTAATCAGCAATAACATGTACGTGCAATGATATTTATATTTATATTTCTATTTGTTCTCCTTCCGTGTGCAATTTGAAACAAAGAGAAACCAAACAATGATACTATTAACCGTAATTGGTAGAAGTTATGCAAAAATATCTTTACGTGAATAACTATTGCATATATATATATAAAAGTTATCAAACATAGATAGAAATAGTTTTAAGATTTCCATTATTGAAGAAAGTTAACTTGAATAGTTTCAGGAGAACAAAACTGACTTGATGAACTAACATAAGTATTGACGTGCAAACATATATATACATATAAACATACGCAGAAGAACTCGTATATAGACAGAGGATGTTCCATATAAAACGTTAGAACTCTCACTAATGCGTCTTGTAATTGCATAAGTCAATTTTGAGCAGTTGTGATCGAGTATGAACATAAATAGGAGAATAAACGTCAGGTGATAACAGCTACGTACAAAACAAATAAACGCTTGATCATCTTTGCAATGTCCGGGTTGTTCTAGCCGATTGCAAAAGAAAAAAGCTGAGGAAAAGAAGCAAATGCACGCGCACGTATTATATATTTATATGTAGATATATGTATGTTAAAAGTTTAATGGTAAAAGAGCGTACTGAGTTGGACGACGTTTTCGCCTCTCGCCTTTCGCATTGGCACAGGTCAGGGATATATTCTACTTAGATATATATCTATCTATATATGTATATGTATATACATATATTTATTTACTTTTGTATAATATATGTATATATGTATACACAAATGGTAAAAGAGTGATACTGGAATAGACGAGAAAGTGTATTGTTATAAATGCGAGTCTCTTAAAGAGTTGCTACCTTTTCTCGTGTGAGATACACAATGGCACCATTTACCGAACACAACACGATTAATAGTCAAGTCTTCGTTACCGAATCGTTTGCGATTAAGTCGACTATATATCGTCGCGCTGGCCGCTAAATTGTTATTCTCCGCGACGTAAAATAAAAATAATTACCTATCGCTTAATTGCAGTAGACCGATCTGTCGACGGATAAAATCTTTGACATCCGTATGGCAATTTAACGACAATTCGAAATAATGAAAAGAAGAAGTAGTAAAAAAAAAAAACCAAATAGAAGGAAGAAAAAAGTATGAGCCGTCAAATAAATAGTTATATGTCTCTTTCTTTTCTTTTATTTTCGTCTTCGTGTTATACATATATAATTGGATATTATGGTTAATGATTACGTATATTAATCAATCATAATTAATACTATTGCATGACGCGAAATATGGTTTTCTATTTGCACGGAAACGGATCATCTATTTGAATTTTATTATATGCCATCTCGAATCGTTGATGTTATAATTAGAGTGATGCCTGATAATGTATAATATAATTTATTGTCAATGGTAATCGATAGGATAACAGTTTTAACAAGTACACCATTATTATATATGCGCAATTCCTTAAGACTTTTCTTCTCTTCCTTCTTTTAAATATTTTATTTATGTTTATCGATAACATATCAATTGAGAGGTTCATTTTTTTTTCTTCTAACTATTTAGATCCTTCTTCGAAAGCTTCTATTCAGTATTCTATTCTCGTTAAAAAATATTATCCGTGTTAATATTTGACGCGAGAATTATAATAAGTTGGTGGTGCAGTGTTCGAACATCGAATGTGGTGTGGCGCGACTCACCGTTTCGAGAGAGGCTAGGGATCGTGAAGCGGGAGCTATAAATGCGAGGTCTCCAACGAAAATCATCTCAGTCGTGGTTCGAGAGCGAAAAAGTAATCGCTTAGTTCGATATTTTTCCTACTACATTATTATTATTTTCTAACACGTGTTTTTCACGCCGGCTCTTGTTTCTTTTCTTTCTTTTTTTTCTACACCGATTATCATTAACTTTCTCTTTTCTTTTCTTTCTTTGATTTACGCGTGTTCATCGTTTCATCTGCTTCGTTGGGAAAAAAGATATTAAAAAAAAAAGAAAGAAAAATTAAAAACAAAGTTGATAGCTTTTTTACATATCGAAAATGTAATTCTGCGCGTTTGCACAGTTTATGAAAGGAAGTATCGAAGGATCTTAATACTTTTGAATTTTTTTTTTTATTTTGAAATATCATCGAACAATTGATTGTACTTATTCTTAACGAGACAGATGTTAATTTGTCATTTTTAATCGATGGACGAGCAAAATGTGAAATATTTTTCTATAAAAGGTGCATCTCATCAAAAGTTTGATTGAGTTTTCGCGCCACCGTCACATCTTACAGTGTGAAATGTGTTTTATTCGACGATTAAGAAGTTACTACTTTCCAATATTATTGCCGTTGTCGTTCCAAATCAACGGAGAGGAACATCTTTGATCAGACCCAAGTAAGATTCTAATAACAATATTATATTACTGAAACTTTATCATTTGTTCTTGATCTTTTTCTTTTTTTTTTTTATTCTCATTTCCATTAGATTTTCACAAAATTAATTTTATCTTATGTTAGAATAACGTAAGATGCTTTAATTGTTTATTTGTTATCGATTTGTTTGTATTTACCATTGATAAATTGAAAAACATGTTTGACATTTGAAAAATAGGCCGGTTGCCAATTTTCAATTCAAACCGACCGAAATAGAAACGGTAGCAGTGGCGAAGTTTAAAAGCGCACGAAGTAAACGTAGAACGTAAGTGAGTAATAAGTAGGTATATACTATTTATTTACGTTAAATGCATTTAGCTTATCTATCAGAATGACCTAGCGTATTGGCATTTTTCTGGAAAAACAGGAGCGAGAAAGGAAAATGTGCAATTGCGTTGGAAACAAGGTTGCGCCTTTGCAATTTTTACGATCGAAAGTTCGATTACAATCGCAATTCCTTCCCGCGCTATGAGAATTTCGTATCTGAGCGTTGATTTCACGCTAATTTGAGAAAGACGATATAGGGGGAAACAATTAGAAAATAATTCGAAAAGAAATATAAACTAAAAGAACACAATCCTACGTGATGAAATATTTTTCATATTTTTATTTTCTATTTATTTTTCTTTTCTTTTTTTTTTTTTTAATTCTAACAAGATACAAAATTAAAGATAATAATATTATGATTGCAGTTATTAATAATATATTGTTTGTAATATTTCTTTTTCTTTTCTTTCTCCTTTAATATATCTTATAGAAAATCTTTTGTGAGAAATAATTTCAAAATATAGAAATACAGAAATAGAATGAAATAGAAATTAAAGGAGAATGATTATTTTTAAATTATGCTTTTTTTCTTTTCTATATTTTTCTTTTCCTTTTTTTATACCTGACAAGATAAAAAACATAAATATTGCGATTAAAAAATTAAGTATTTATATAATAAGATATATATCACCTTGTATTCTTGTTTCTTTAATGTATCACATGAAAACTCTTTCGTAGAAAATAATTGAAAAATATATAGGAAATAGGACCAGAGAAGAAAACTTGAGGTGAACTGTTATTATTTATTTTGACTATAATATCTATATTTTCTTGTTTTATTTTTAATTTATGATAAGAAATAGAATTATTGAAAAAAAAATCGCAATTGGTATTAACAAAAAGTATCTTCTTAAATATGCATTATTTTTTCCTATTACTTCTTCTTTTTCTTCTTCTTTTTTCCGCGCATCTAAGAAAAACATTTTCACGTTAACGCGGGGTACAGGTACAACAATAGTTCATTCGGTCTTTTTTTTTTTGTACGGAAACTCCGTAATTGTCTTGCAGCACGCCACATTCGTAAATTGCAATGTGCGGGATTGTCCAAGTGCTCTTCTCATTATAATCGTCTGAGCGAAGTTAAAAACGTCCTATCGGGACATTATCTGTTGGAAAGACGTCCGATGATTTCATTCGTTTCATTGTCTTTCAATTCTTAAAAAGTATCATTCCAAATTATTAAAAAAAAAAAAAAAAATAATTCTTTTTTATCCTTTATTTTCTCTTTTTTTTATATTGAAAGAAAAAAAAATCATAACAAAGGATTACTCTTCGAAACGAACGAGACTAGCGTTCTTCGATTGTGTAATAAAAGGTTAATAAAAAAATAGCGCAAAAAATATAGAGCAACGCCCAGCTTCTTTTAACGAGACGTCTATAATCTGAGTTTTAAATAGGTTACATATATTTGCTATAATATCTTTGTCATAGAAAAGAAAAAAAAGGAATATATGAAAAAATATAAAGGGGACGGAAGTGAAGGGGGAACAAAAGAAAATAAACTCGTTGGATTAGTGCATTAATAAAATTTCAAAAGGAATGTTATCATTTTTTCAATTTGCATTTCCAACCAACGCCTTTATATAATAACCTTACAATCTCTTTTTTGTATTTTCAGCAAACAGTTTTAAGTCTCGGCAAGTTTGGCCGGAACGATGATGATTCAACCAAAGATCTGGTGGAAGCTTATTTATTCCGAAGATAAGAAAGGTGTAAGGATCTTAATTATATAATATGTAATCGATTCTTTGTATTATCCATTTTATTATCCCCACAAAGTTATTTAAGTTAACTTATGATCAAATGATCATTTGATAAGCATTATACGAGAATTATAAAATGATAATTCCATCATCCTCGAGGAAGATTACGTAAGATGATAAAAAATAATATAAAAGAAGTATATATATGTGTGTCTGTATGTGTATTTGTTCGATGTAAAGCTTTTTAAGATCGTTGTTCCTTGATCCGTTTTTTTTTTGCTTTTATCTCTTCTCTTTCGTTTTTTTTGTGCTGTTTCCGATAGAATTCGAAAAATTTGAAATCTATCTCTAGAAGATCTTTATATAAAAATGAAAAGAACGCATAACAGAAATTCTTTGACGCGTTCGATTTAACGTTCCATTTTAATGATTGAATGATCGTATTGTTTTTTTTTTTCTGAAACATATAGGAATATCTTGCATAACGAGAACAAGGAAGTCCATAGATGATGATGATGAACATTTTTCAAATTAAAAGAAAAAGTTTATTATTATTAATAAAGAAAAATAAAAAGAAAAGAGAGAAATGCCACGTTCGTTCTTGCACTCGTTATTGCACAATGCGATAACAAAGGATTGCGATCCAGTCGTATAATTATTGCGAGAGCATAGCACGGATGTCCGTTCACTTGTTCTCTCTCTCTCTCTCTCTCTCTCTCTCTCTCTCCAGAAGGAGATTCGATGACGATGATCGTGATCACGACGACATATGATGATGATGACGATCGTCATGATGAAGAAAAGATGCTTTAGTAAATACTTATTACATATTTGAAATTTATCAAGATAATTCCAATCTTCTTTCTAATTATCTATTTAATTCAAATGTGTATCCATTAGTTTCTAATTATTTTCAAAATAAATACTGATTATCATACTTATCACAAATTTACAATACAATTTATAGAAAAAAAAAATGAAAAAAGAAAAATATATCGAAATCAATGAATTCATTTGTATATGCAGATAATTAATCCTTTTTCTTTTTATTTGCTCTATTACATAATCATTTTAATGTCTGTAAATATCCTTATGTTTCTGATCTTTTTCAAAATAAATACCGTCTATCATACTTTTCATCATGAATTAAACAACTCATTTTCCAAATCGATTAACTCCACGAAACAAAAAGTCGAGACAATTGATGAAGTATAGATTGACTATAATATTCGTAATAATTTAAAAAAATCATTTGAAGATAACATTTTTATTTATATTCTTGATGTATATTTTATAAATAGTCCATTTTTTCAARTCAATAATTGTCATTTATTATAAGAAAAATTAAAAATAAAATATTTAATTAAAATATTTGTAAATAAAATATATACTATATGGAATATTTATTATTATAAATTGGCAACAATTTTTCGGGTAACCTCCAATAATATACATTGTAATATTATTTATTAATGAATAACCATAAAAATTGTTCTCATTTAATGCTTTTCAGCTTTATTATAATAGAAATTTATTTTAAATATAATATATAGTTTGATAATAAAATTTATACAAATTCAAAAAATAAATGTAATAATTTTGATTCTTAAACGGTTTCATTAATGATAAAAATCATATAAATTGAATAAAAAAAAAAAAAATAAAAAGAATTGAAGATTCGATTAAAAATTCATTGGTATACGTGGTAAATTTTTGTTTTCTTTTTACATTGTTCTATCACATCAAAATGTAACATGTGAACGGTGATAAAAAAAATAAGAAATGTGTATAACGTATTATTATTTCGGTACACGTTCACGGAAGTTCTTTTGGATTTCCGAACACGCGTGACTCACGTAGATGTGATATCTTAATTGTTGAGCATTACGGAAATACTTAAGCATTTTCTATGATCAAGGAACGTAAAAATTTAAAGAAGGAAATAGTTCTTGTCTTCCTATATTATTTTGGTACTTTTTATTCTTCAAAAATAGTCAGATTGTAAATAGATAAAACAATTCAAGTTGATTCAATTCATTTGAGAGACTAGTTTGGTATCTTTCAGTCTGACTCTAACTCAGTAATTTCTAATCTTTTCAAAGTCACGGAACACTTTGGATTTTAAGAAAGATTTGCTCAACATCAAAATCATTAAGATCATTAAACTAACAATAAAACTATATTTTATTAAAAATTATATTGGATTAAGTATTACCTATAAATAGATCGATACCACGTTTTCATAACTTTACGAAACACTTGTAATAAACTCGTGGTACATCTGTTCAGAGCCACTGGTCTCATCTGTTGAACTGGCTAAATTAGAAAATCCATATAAACTGTTTCAAAATTGGTAAGGTTTTTTAGATCATTAGAGTACACAAGTTTTCTCATTCGACAATTAAAATGATGCCTTTGACAAGATGGAGGAACTTGCTAGAAAGATTTTTTTAAAATAAACTTTTGTTCTTAACGTTTCGCAATTAAATGAATTATTTTCAATTGTTCAATCATCTTCGTGATGTCAGAACTGCTGAATAAAATACAATGCTAAAATATATATTTTGAATATTTTTTTATATCTTTTATATTCAAATTAATGTTACTAACAAAACCATATTTATTAACGAGATAACATTAATTTAATATTTAAAATATTATACTTCATATCTTTTTTAATAAAATAGAAATAATTGTCAATATTAGTAAAAAAATTCTAATTTATAAATAAAGTGAGAAATATTTTATTTAATTTAAATCGGATTTATATAAATAAAATGATCTATTTAGTATTAGTTATATAAAATATATTCGTTTTACTTTATTTCTGCTATAAATGAAATAATATTATTTTAATATTACACATAATTTATTTTTTATCTTCCTTTGAAAAAAAAAAGACAGAAGTAATTGTTAATGTTATTACAAAAATAATTGTTTAGTTATAAACAAAAAAATAACAATTATTTTATGTCGATTTGATTATATCAGATTTGAAAACAAAACGATCTATTCATTATTTATTATATAAAACATAATCGTTCAGGTCTGCTAGTTATAATCTGTTGTAATTATTTTTAATGAAAATGCATAAATTTTATCACACTCGATAATGATTTAAAAATTTTTTATTTTTTGTTTGTATAAATATATTTCCCCGACTGATTTCAGATTCTTGCTGGATTGGCTGCACACTCGGGACAGATATCAGTGGGATTATCTCAAGGTTTTAGTGCGATTCTCATACCGAAGTTGTTAGAATCAGGGTTTGCCGATAAATCAGAAACTTCTTGGATCGCGTCTCTTGGAGCTGTTTCGAATCCTATTGGAGCTTTAGTCGCAGGTTTATGCTCTGAATGTTTCGGAAGAAGATCAGCGATAGCTTTAGCAACTTTACCACATGCAACAGGATGGCTTCTGATCGCATTCGCCAAAAATGTACCAATGTTGTACGTCGGAAGGTTTGTCAGTGGCATCGGTACAGGAATGGCAAATGCTCTATATTTATACGTCAGCGAAGTAAGTTTAAAAATAAAAATAAAGACAATATATTATTTATATTTCCCGATCATTTACAAAGTAAATAACTTTATGATATCATTAGACTGCTGCTCAACATCAAAGAGCATGGTTAGCAAATTGTGGACCAATCTTGACCTCGTTGGGAGTGTTAATTGTGTACACGTTAGGTGCTTTAACAACATGGCAAAAGTCTGCTGCGATCAGTATAGGCCCAGCAATTCTATCTTTAGCATTAACAAGGTAAGTATTTTTTTTTTGTAAATATTGTGTAAGGGAGGATTTGGAAAAAAGTAAAATATATTTATTAGGATGCTTCGCGAAACACCAGCCTGGCTTATATCCAGAGGACGAATGGAAGAAGCAAAAGAATCCTTACTGTGGCTTCGGGGTCCTAGTTTAACGACGGACACCGAGTTTCAAGAACTTTGTAATGCAAATGTAAAAAGGGGGGAAAAAAAAGAAAATCTTTTTAAAGCTCTCTACAAGCCAAATGTTTGGAAACCATTCGTTATACTTTTCCTTTTCTTCGCTCTTCAACAACTTTCAGGAATTTATATAATGTTGTTTTACGCTGTTAGTGTCTTAGAAGATATTGGTGTGAGCGTGAACGAATATGCCGCGAGTGTTGGTATCGGTATGATCAGACTATTTGCTTCGATAATTGGCGCGGTTTTGGCAATTAACGTTGGTAGAAGAGCATTAGCTTTTAGCAGTGGTTTTGGTATGGCTTTATCAGCTATTGGTATTGCTCTAGCCTACAGGTATGCATAATAATAATATTTTTCTTTTTTAGAAACAATAAATTTAAAGATAAAAGTATTAATAAATATATGTATTAATTTCAGGTTCCATTTGCCTTCGTGGGTTTCTTTAATCTGTATGGGAAGTCATGTTGCATTATCCATGATTGGTTTCCTCACGTTACCTTGGGTTATGACCTCAGAATTATATCCGCTTAGGTTCCGAGGAACGTTGGGAGGTATCACTACGAGTATAGCGCAAATCTTGACTTTTTTTGCAATTAAGTTGTATCCTGAGGTTAGTATAATGGCTGGCATAGAAAACACGATGTGGTTGTTTGCCACAGTAGGTTTATTGGGAGCACTATTTTCCGTAACCCTCTTACCTGAGACTCGAGGTCAAAGTTTGGACGACATCGAGAACAAGTTTACAAAAAATTCAAAGGTTGGTCCGAAGATAAATGGTTCCAAAGCACTTTCGAGCATTTTTATTCACACTCAACCTAAGAACATTACTCTTCAGAAATTTACTTCGATCTCTGAAGAAAAGGATTTTAATACAACTGAGAATCGTTACACTTTCGATAACTTTTGTTTTGACATGAGTTTTGATAAGGTTAGTAGGGAATCTAAGGATGATGAAAAACAGAACAAAGATCATTCCGTAACGAATACCATTGTGCTGGATCACATGTATATTTAAATCATCATTAATTAAACCAATTTAATAAACAAAGAAGCTTGGAAAAGCTCATTTAAAGGGAATATTACTGCCAAGAATGGACATTACCTAAAATATTATATATTTTGTATAAAGACATGTGTCTATTTGTGTACATATCTACACATTAATGTGGATATTTTATTAGTTTACTGAAAATGTTGATATTATTTGTTTCTTTTTCGTTTATAATGTAAATTAGAATTTAAGAAAATTGTTAAAATTTTTGCTTCTGTACATATTTATGTATAATAATAGTAACAAATAGGGGAATGGATTCTAATTCTCGATTTGATGTTAGAGATGTTTTTTTTTTTTTAATTTTTGATTAACCGTATAATGTTAATAAGTGCAATAAAATAATAATTATACTATAATCAACACTAATAAATATATATATTCGTATATATTATTAGTGTTATTATACTATAATTATCGATGTATATAATTAAATAAAATCGAAATTCTCCTATCGTAAAAAAGTAACAAGTATTAGAAACTAGATAATAATAAATATAAAGTATATAGTGACAAAAGTACTGTCTACAAATGATCTTGTGTTTCTTTTATTTTCCTTGTTTAAAAATTTACAAATCATTTGAAAAATGGATTTTTATTTCTAGGTATATTTCTTGATTTTAAACTTATTCACTTTTTCATTTCTTTTTTTATTTATCAGAATTAATAATTACATAATTAGTAAATTCCTAGTTAAGCGACCACGCCATTTAATATATACAATATAAATACGTACTTGAAATAAAATTTTGTATGACAGCGTTATAAACTACTTACATTTCTAATATTACTTATATTTTTTAAATGCACATTATAAAAAGAAGTATAAGTACGAGTGTTATAATAAGATAAGAAGAGCTAATTAATATTATATTTAATTACTTTGTATAATAATATACTATCGATAAAAAGTATTCTACGTGTTGATTAAAATCAGTGCCAAAAAAAAAGAAACAAAAACATGCATTTGTCGTTCCTAAATATTACAATTTACGGTCCGATATTCATTATTAGGCAGTTTAAGCTTTACTATAAACGACTAAGAAAATAGCTGAATATTTACTTCTATTATATTGTCCTATTATATCTGTACATAGTAGTCTGCATTGATGAAATAGTCCCATTAACATGAATGGACAAACATGTACAATAGGACTTAATATGTTATAAAAAATTGCCTTTGAGATTACCCGTTGATATATCTATCTTAATGAGTTTTTGTTCGTTTATTTTAGTGACAAACATTGTTTTATGAGATTTTAAAGAAAAAATAAATTTATCATTGTTTCTTAAAAGTTGTTCTTAAAGGCACAGCAAATATACCGTTGAAACAATTAGAATAAGATTTAATATGTATTTCTTCCTTGTTTTTGGGATTATCTAGATAAATAAATTATATTAGAAATATTTAAATGATATAATAAAATTAAATTTTTCATTTCTATACATATGGAATTGTTAATTCTAAATGTATTTCTATAACAATAAGGTTCACTTCAATTTTGTTTTAAATGAACAATAAAAAAAGTATTTATTTGATCTATTTAGTATAGGCAATAATACATGTACGAAATGATCTTATTATTCTACAATTTTGTTAAATTTTTATCTTCTTCTTTTTTTCACTTTTTTTTTGCTGCGTTATCAATATTTCCTTAATTTCAACAACATTCTTCTTTTTGTTATGTTTCTTGTAAATATACAAGATTGATAAGATATATAGAGTGTAATTACCATATTTTTTTTACTGACAATCGATAATAATTTTATCTAAAAATTAAAAAAATATAATAACTACGTTAAAAAATATTTTTTTGTAAGCCAAATCTGGCACATGATTAGCTTAAGTCTAAACTAGCCGTTTCAAAGTTCTTGCACTATTTAAACCATTTTACAATTTAATTGTTTGGTTTTGCTTGTATAAAATGTTTAATAGGTCACTTTAGAATTATCGTTTGTACAACACATAGAAATTAATTCTTATTTTTGCTTTTAAGTTGTCTTATCAACAAAAGCTTAAATAACCGATTATTTAAATTTTAAATACATAATCATTGATATTTTTTACGAAAAAATTTAAAAATATTTGTATTTTTAATAATAGTATTATCATCAACTATCTGTAAAATGAGTAGGTTCAATACTTTAATAGGATAAATACGGGTATTGTCATGATAATTTTTGTTTGAGGCTAACTATCACATCGGTATTGCCTACTTTCAACAACTGGGAATTATTATGCAAAAACTGAAAAAAGCCAACAGCTTGCCCAAAGTAATCTGGCAGTTTCAATGTCACCATGAATGGAACCAGCATTTATATCTTGATACGCTTGATGTTCTAAGCGTGTTACCTGCTGTCAGTAGAATTCCGAGTCTGAACTGTGTTGTGAATCCCCACTTCTGCCATTCAAATAAACTTCTGACGTTTGTTGTATAGACGGTGAATGTTGAGTTGTTTCCCAATGTTGACCTGAACACAAAAAAGCAAAATATACAAAAAGAAAAAGTCAACTTGTTATTTTGTTGATGTTAGACATTATTAAGATTTAAAAATTTACCATGAGCGGCAAGTATAGTAGCCAAACAACGAGCTACTGCTGGACTCGGAGCACATGCAAGTGCTGGTGTAAGACCCTCTGCGTCTACAGCAATAACACTTGCTCCCAATTCAAGTAATTTTCTTGTTACCTATAACAAAATACCCTGTGTGTATATCGGTTAAACAATGATAATGCAAACATTGTTATAATAAAAAAATCATTAATTTCGATAAACCTATATACTTACCCTTACGAGACCATTTCTCGCTGCTAAATGCAAAGGGGTTCTCTGTTGTTTGTTAGTCATATTAATAACTGCTACACGTTGTTCTTGTAATTGTTGAGGATTTTCTAAGCAACTACTTGAAGCAATCCAGTCTAAAAGGAGTAAAGCAGCAGAAGAGTGACGTCTTTGGCAAGCTAAGTGCAACGCTGTATTCTTATTGGCATCAACGGCACGAACATTAGCTTTCCACTCGAGTAACAGTTCTATTATTACAATAATTTTTATTATAACAAACAATTGTCAAAAAAACATTATTTGTTTTAAATTAATTTGTTTACAAATAATTACCGATAGCATTGCATTGTCCATTAACAGCAGCGCACAGTAGTGGCGTCCGACCATAATGATCTAAGTCCTCTACCCCAGCTGATTCAGGTCCAACAGAACTTAAAATAAGTCGTGCACATTCAACAGATCCTGCACTAGCGGCTACATGTAAAGGAAGTCGACCACCTGGAGTATCTCTTAAAGCTGCAACTACCTGTCCACCAAATTTATTTATCAGCATATCCAAGCAATGAGCTGAATTTTGATATGCAGCACAATGAACAGCAGAAAAAGGATTACCTGAAAGTATAGAAAAAATAATTCATAGATATCATATTCTCGATGATCTATTGTTTCAAAGGAATATAATGCATACCCTCTAAGGAATCAATAACATTTTGTTCTAAGAGATATTCTACACAATTAGAATTTCCATTGTAACAAGCCCAATGAAGTACAATGCAACCTTGATCATCTTTTAAAGTTGCTGCCACTGGATCAGCGTTAATTAATGCAGCTAAAGCTTTTAATCTATCAATATAGATTATAATAAGCAAAAAGAAAAAAAGGAAGAAAAATATATGTTAGACATCTTAATTTTAATCAAAAGCTTACATATTTTTACCTTCCACATGCAGCAGCTAAATGCAATGGTGTCTTTCCATTTGTATCCTGAATGGCCACGCGAGCTCCATGTGATAACAGCATATCTACTATATCTTGATCTTTCGGATTAACCACTGCTCGAAACAATGGCGTATGTTTATCCATATCGGGTAAGTTGCAATCTGCATTGTATTTCAAAAGTAAACTTGCACATTCCGTTCTACTATTAGCTACAGCTAAGATTAAAGCTGTCCGTCGTTTTGCATCATAACGATTTATTACACTTAAATCTTCTGTTTTTTCCAATAGAAGTTGTAAACATTTAGTATGACCTGCTGCTGCTGCACAGTGTACTGGTGTACGTTTAGTAACAGAATCCTTCGAATAAAATAAATACACGTTGCATACAAGTAACAAGAGGAATATATTATAAACGAAATTATTTTAATATTTATATTGCATACTACTCTAACTTACTTCAACAGCAACTGAAGCACCAGAATTTAATAACATTTGAACACATATTTCATGACCTTTATAAGATGCTAAATCTAGTGGTGTTTTACCACTATCTTCTTTGATATTAGTATTTGGAAATAAAGGCAATAATAACCTCAATATTTCACTGTGACCATGATACGCCTATTTAAATAATGATTTTGTATTATTTGAAATTTAATGAAATATTCTTTTATCTTACCGCAAGATGTAATGGTGTAAGTAAGGGTAACTGTGATTCCTTTTTGGCAGCAGCTGGTAGTGTAGCTTGTAACAGTGATTCTAATGCTGATTGATTACCAGCAGTTACTGCATAATGCATCGGTGTAAATCCACGATTGTCACCTAATTGCGGATCTGCTCTATGTTTTAATAAATATTCCACACATCTAAAGAATTAAAAAAATACATAAAACAGAACTTTTTGAATATACATATTTTTTAATGAATAATAAAACAACTACGCACTGTGCACAAGAATTTGATGAACAATTTGTTGCTGCTGCAGCTAAATGAAGAGGTGTAGCACCATTAGAGTCTTGAGTATTAGAATCACTACCAAATCCAACCAAAGTAAAAACACAAAAGTAGTGACCTTGACCGGCAGCTAAATGTAAAGCTAACTTATTTTCGTTATCAGTTAATCTAAAATTTGCTCCACTAGATAACAATAAGTCAAGACAAACTACAGAACCCTTTAATGCTGCCAAATGTAATGGTGTTCTACCTCCTGAATCCTTTGAATCTATAAGTTCACTATCAACTTGCAATAATTTTCTGCAAACCTGTTGTAAAAATATAATTAAGTATAATTTAAGTACATTTTCTAATTAAATAAAGACTTACTTCTATGTGACCTGCTAAACAACTAAGATGTAAAGGCGTACGTTGACTTGTGTTACGGGCTGCTGGAGATGCTCCATATTCAAGTAATGTTGTGGTCAAACATTCATGTCCAAACCTTTGTTTATAATTGATTATAGATGAATTAAATAAATACATATATATATATATAAATTAAATGTAAGTACAGTTATTAACAAAATGTCAATAAAGAATAATTTATTTTCATACCAAGCAGCAATATGTAAGGCAGTATTTCCATTTTTGTCATTTATATTAGGCGATGCACCTGCGTCTAATAAACTTTTTGAACGAGTAAATCTGCCATGAATTGCAGTCATATGCAATGGTGTGCGTCCATCTGCCGACTGAACATCTATTCTTAAACCTGCATGTAACAACGTTTCTAAGCATTGAACACCGTGTGTACTAGCAGCAGCTATATGAAGTGGTGTTTGACCTTGGTAATTTGTAACTTCTAAATAAACAGAATAGTATTAGTTAGTAATCAGGAATAAAAATGAAATGTACATCAACATAAAATAATTATATACCTATATTAACATTATTACTAATGAGTTCAGAAACTGCATCTACATGTCCATTTAAACAAGCAATATGTAAAGGTGTATTGCCATATACGTTTTTTGACTCAATGTCTGCTCCACCTTTAATTAAGGCATGCATGCATTCAACATTGCCAGATGCAGCAGCAGCATGTAGTGGAGTATATAAATCACGATCCTTAACACAGGAGAAATAAAAAACAATGTAATCCTAAGAAACACTAATATACTTTCGAGAAATGAAGTGTAATTGAATTATATGTTACTTTAACATCTACATCGGCTCCTTTTTCAATTAATAATTTGACAATTTTATCATAGCCCATATATGCTGCGAAATGCAAAGCTCTTCTGTCTTTTTTATCAGCTGCATTTACTACGCAACAAGCCTGAATTAAACATTCGACCATTTCCAAGTGACCATTATACGCAGCATGATGTAAGCTTGTTCTTCCACCCCTACAAAAAAGAACAAAAGTATTAAATAAATTATTCTAATAGACTTGTAATTCATAGGAATATTTTATGAGCAATACAAACCTGTCTGTTACATTGATATTTAACACATAAGGGATCATAAGTTCTACACATTCTACAGAATTATTTGCGGCTGCCACATGTAACGGTGTTTGCCAACTTCGATCTCTATTGTTTACATCTGCTTTATATTTTAATAATACATCTACTACTGTAGGTTTGTTTGAACAACAAGCTCTGTGTAATGGTGTTAACCATTTTTTATCTTTAACATTGACTGATGCTCCATGTAATAATAAAGTTTCTACGATACTTGAATCTCCTCTATAAAAACATTTATAAATTATATTAGATTTCAGAAAGGATTGATTAACAGAAGAGCTATTGCAAATAATACATACGTGTATGCTGCTGCATGTAAAAGTGAACGTTGTTCATGGTCTGCCCAATTAATATCCTCTTGTTTTGATAATAATGTACGAACTTCGTCTAGATCCCCATGAAATATTGCTTGTAATAATGGAGGCTATAAATAAATAAATCATATCCGTAATTTATATACCCGTTAATAAAAGTATTTTATTAAATGAAATGATATGATATTATAAGAAAATTTTATTTAAAACATTGTTCACGTTGAGAGGTTAATTTGAAAAATATATTGAGACTTTAAATTAAACAATTGAAATGAATAAGACTGTAATAATAAAATATCAACATGAATATAAATATCTATGATTTAGTTGTATTACAAATAAAATAAACAAATTTAAATGAAATATGTATTTAATGTATGACATATAAACCTAACCTATAAGAAGTGCATCTGATAGTAAAAGATATCGAAACGAATTGTATTACATTATGTTAAATTAAACAAAAAATAACATTTACCCCATCACGTAAATCATGTTCGTTCATGATTAGTCCTTTTTGAGTTTATATCGATATTAAAACACTTATAAAATCATAGTCGAAGCATCGTAGACAAATGACATTATCCTGTGAGTCATACTAACGTCTGTGCATACTTAAATATTTTATATGATATTTTAAATATACATGCGTATATAAGTATTCCGTTAGTTTTGTCTTTGTTTTCTGAAATAAATATAAATTAATATTAAAAATATTTTTTAATTCTTGTATTAGATTGTTTTCAAATATTTTTTTACTTTCTATAAATACTTCTAATTGAACGAATCGATATTTATAATAAATGTCATATAACAGTAAGGAATAATTCTTTACTAGTTGTATCTTTCAATTAGAAAAGCCAATAACAAATATTCTTTTTAATAATTAATTCTATTTATATTTATTCTTCTAATTTACAATACTTTTATAAGAAATTCATTCAATTTTGAAATAATTATCTGTATAAATATCTCGTAGACAGTGAAAGGATTAAAATGGGAAATACTTCTTCTAGACAATTTTCGCGAATAATTTTTTTTTATAATATTTTTACAGTATTTACACAATCTTTTTTCTATAATGTATCTTATAAAACATGCAAATATATTTTCTATATGTATTTTAGATACATACATAAAAGATGAATTTTTAAACAGTATACAAAGACAGATAATGAATTATATATTTTTTAAATAATAAATAAATTTTTCAGAACTTTTTTCTTACATAAATTTTAAGTAAATTTGATAAATATTTTTAAATAATTTTAATATTGTCAAACACTACCTAATATATTTATAAAATTAAAAGAAAGGGAATATTAACAATGGAATAAAAAAAATTTCAAACATAAATGAATTTGAGGAATGTTATTGCGTAAAACAAAAGGATTTTAGATGATTAAATGTTATACATTTAAAATTCAATTAAAAATCAACAGCATGTGTATTTTTTTTATAATAATGTTATTGTTAATGCTTATTTTAAGTTCTATAAGATGGTATGTACATACAACTTGTATGGTCAGATGAATTTACATTGGTAATTATTTTGTTATCTAGGCGCGCGTTATTATTAACATTGCAATATGTATGAATTATTATTTATAAATATTTTGTCAATAAAATAAATTTGTTTACAAATTGATTAAGAACAGTTTTGTGTTATATATATATAAAATCATTAAGAATTTATTATTATTATTATTATTACTGAATTTAATTTAAAATTTTTAATTAAATTTAACTACATTAAAATCATAGGAATTAAAATCTAATCTAATTCAATAAGAATCATTCATCATCAAGATGTGCGATGCAACAACAATTCATAAACGAATAATAAATGCAGATGGTATAGATTTAATCGTTTAATTATATCAACAGAACGATCAACGTGATTCTCATATAATCTTTGCACACTAAACGATTCTTAATACATTCCAGATTATTGTTACATCCCCGTCAAATATGGCTTAACGTATTAAGAAATACTCGCGTCAAACAAATTTGAACATTTTATATTTTGTGATATTCTTATTAATGTTATTAAAAATCAGCGTCCCATCCAGAGAGATCATCTGGGGGTGTTGGGTCAGTGTCTGGTGGGTAATCGTCGAAGTTTGAAGTATCAATAGGCGCACGAATACGGGGTCTAATCGGTGGATCTAATGTTCGTAGTCTTAGACCTTCCCAATTGAAGCCATCGAACCATCTAAAAAAATAATGAAACATCAAATATAATTAGAACTATAATTATCACAAAGTTTATTGTTTTGAATTGTCTATATATGAAATGTCAATGATATTTAGTGATATTTTACTTGTGCTTTTGAATTTCGCTAATGCCTCCTTTTTGGTGGCCGAGTCGTTCCGCCGGATTATCTCTGCAAAATATTCAATGTTTTAAGTGTGATTGCAAATCAATTTCACTTTGAGGTGTCTTGTGTATAGGCATTGTGAGACTGCAGCATCTTCAATTTTACTCAATGTAAGAAAATATTAGTAATTTATTTATACTTTATTTTTTCATCTTATACAACAATTCTCACATTTTGTATTAATAATAATTACAATTCATCTTGACGAATAATCAAATGCACGTGAAATGCGAGATATTAGCGTAATGCGGTAATGTCCGTCGTGCAATTCCACCATTTTTTCAACAGTTATACAAATATCAAAGAAAAAGTTATAGTAATTTTGAATTATACTCAACTATATAATTTTATTGACAACAAACAATATTTTATTACTATAATTTTAATATTCTTTCCAAACATTTATATATTGCATTAAATAAAATATATTTCGAAAGTTGCAGCAGTCCCACAATTGCAAGCTATGAACTGTCACTGATTGAAATGTATTATATATGCAATAACAGTACGAAGATTACCTGCAAAGTTTTTTAATGAGGACAGAAGCGTTACGTGTTATGATCTTCGGAAAGTCGATGGTATCAATGCCTTTTAAAATGATATTGTAAGTTTTCATCGGATCAGAACCAGTGAAAGGCGGCGCTCCAGTAAGAAGTTCAAACATTAGGACACCAAGAGACCAATAATCAGCACTTATGTCGTGACCTCTATTAAGAATAACTTCCGGTGCAACGTATTCAGGTGTACCACAGAAAGTCCATGTCTTCTTTCCATGATCTAATCTTTTAGCAAATCCAAAGTCTACGACTTTGACGTATCTATAAGAAGATATAAAAACATGATTGATTATGGTTTACAATTCAAGATTTCCTTCTAATGATTGATAGTTACAATCACGTGAAGATACAGTATATAACGCAACGTAAGAGTTCAGTGAAAGTAAGTAAGTATTTTGACGAAGATTTATTATTATAGATTCCTGATAATATACTTCATTTTCTATCCATTTTTAAATAATGACACCTTTACTATTTAACTTTCACTGGATGAGATTTAAAAAAGTTATTTATGTTGGATAAACATACGACGTGTATATTCTTACCCTTCATTGTCAAGTAGAAGATTCTCCGGTTTGAGATCACGATAAATGATATTTCGTGAATGTAAATAGTCGAAAGCTTCAACGACGCATGCAGTGTAAAATCGAGTAGTAGCATCATCGAAGTGTCCCCTGTCTCTGAGAACTGTCCAAAGCTCTCCTCCTAGGCAAACTTCCATTAACATATACAAATACTTATCGTCTTTGAACGTTTTGTATAACTTGACAATAAAGTCACAGTTCGTCTCATTCATTATACGTTTCTCCGACATTATATGTTGTTGCTGTCGGGTTTCGACTATTTGTGCCTTTTTCATCTGTTTGAGGGCAAACGCTCGGGAGCTGTCATCAGCTATTTGAACTAATTCGACACGACCAAATCCACCAACCCCAAGGGTAGCAATCCGTCGTAGATGGTGCAATTGAACGTTTTGGAATTCATCGTCCAATCTAAATAATTGCATATAATTTATATTATTATAAAATATGAATATACCGTATAAATATGTTATTATATTGTCATGCCAAATAAACTTTAATATATCGAGTAATCTTGATTTTAAAAATATATCTCAGACTTACTACTATCCGTCGTACATTTTGTTTTCCTATCCCAAAACGCAAGCATGGAATAACAATTATAGTATTATCAATGTCGCGATTAAGTGATTAGATTATACATTGTTTATAATATATATTTCCTTTTTTTTGTGGAATATTAACAAAAACATAGTATAAAATATTTCGAGAACTGACCTTCGTCTTTCCACGAGTTCATCCTCGTATTTCTTCCGTATCTCGTCCAAAGGAGAGATCAATTGGTTGAAAGTTTCACGATCTATGACTAAACAAGTGACACCATCGACATCGTTTGCGATAATGTTTGCAGTTCTCAGGTCATCGCTATATATCGAAACACGTATTAATAAAAATTAAAGATTATCAAGATTTATATATTGTGTTATTTAATAAAACATAAACAAGAACTTAAAATCAATGTGTTTTTACCCTTGCAAAGCTTTTTCTCCAAAGAAATCACCACGACGTAACGTTCTAATAAATTTATCTTCTGCGGAATCTTTTTGCTTCATAGTAACTCGTACTTGTCCTTTACTAATAATGAAAAAGGTATCACCTCTGGCACCTTGTCTAATTATATAATCGCCGTTGTTGTAGGTGGTCTTTAAAAAAGACAAAAGAAAAATATTAATAATTGAAAAATATATTTTAAAAATTATAATTATTAGGTATAACAATTAATTCGGTGCTTTGATATTAAATTCATTATATCAAAATCGTCATATTTTTTTCATCGAGGAATTCGTCAATTGTCTTCAAGATAAACTAATCGCAAATACTTAATGATTCTGTTTTGAAGAATAACAGATGTATGATTACTGTATAAATAAGCACTAAATTTATTTAAAAGGCACCGAATTAATTGCTACACACCTGATACAAATTTGTCATTATGTTGTATAAGTAAGTATTTACTTACTTCTTCTAAAACATCGGTAATTTTTGTCAAAGCTTCGTCAGGTAAATTCTTGAAAATAGGTACACTAAAAAATAAAACGAAAAATTATTTAAGTTGATATTATTTTTTTTTTTTTTTTTTTAAAGAGATTTAAAACAGTGACTTACCTTTTTAAAAAGTCGGTATATTCGGCCTGTTTTGTGAGGCCTGTCCTCATCATAATAGTTTGAAAACTTTGTCTGTCTATTGCCCATAATCTACAGTCAACCGCAGCAGTTATCGTTGCTGTTCTTTTACAATTATAAAGGATTGCTAATTCACCAAGAACCTTGCCTGGCGTCAAATTGCTCAGATATTTTCCATCTCTCGAAACTTCAACTTTACCCTCTGTGAACAATAAATTACAAAATAGTTCGTTAGTAATGATGTTACAAATTTTTTCAATAGAATATATTACTCATAATCGATTACAAGTAAATATATATATATATATATATATATATATATAAACATAATATTATATTTATATATAAGTAATATAAACATAAATAAGAAGAACATGATAGATGACAAAAATAAAATTTTATTTAAATTAATTATTATTGACTATTATTAATTAATATATTTAATTTGTTGAAAAATAAAAATTATAATACGAAAAGAATTGAATTAAATATTTTTTGATCTAAATACAAGTTTACTTTTAAAGTAAAAGTCGAAAGTCCAGTGGCATTTCAATTTGAATATATTAAATTTATACTTTTATGATCGTAAATATGGCTGTCAACTCGCACGTATATATCGCTTAAGATATCAATAATAAAAATGCAAAGGCTAAATAACATGGAACGTTATTCGTAAATTTAATTAAAACTTGTATACAAATTTTCATCTTTAATCAGATAACTTTTCGTCTCCTTTTTTTTTTGTATTTTTAAATACACCTAAGACCGGAAAAACGAGCAATAGTATCTTTCAGGGGCAATCTTTGCCATTAACAATGGGCTCATTCAGGAACGCATCCGGTAACCTGGCTGACTTTCTGCTCACGTATATAACGGAGATTCATTGTATTGTATGTAATGAAATGGAAAGTATTAAGTAAACGATTAACTAATTTGTACTATTATTAATACGAAATATCAAGATATATTTTTGATCTCTCGCGTAATCGGTTTTTATATGTATAAATATTTTCAAACGTAATATTAATGATTTCCGTTTCTTTTATTCGTATAAATGGCGTACATGCATACTTTCGTGAGAATGCAAACAAAACATATTTGAATTTAATAAATAAGATCCGTATTACAGTTACATTTTTTTAATCTTACTAATATTAAGTAAGATTTTTGTATTATTTAGATTCAAATAAATCGTGGAAATGCAATACTTTTTGTAATAACATGCTGGTAATTTTGAAAGTTGATTAAAATAAAGAATTGCAAGAAAATGGATAATACGAATAATATTTTAATGTAAATCTTTGAAATTACATCTTAAATGAATTATAATATCAATTAAGTAAATTTGTTTATTTACATTTAGTAAATTAATCTGATTAATAGTAACATTATCTTATATATTTCTTATATAATAATCCTTGTGTTTAACAACTCAACATGATACCTTGTTTTTTTTTTCTCTTTTTTTTTTTTTAAATTAAATTAATAATGTTCTAATATATATTTGAATATTCGAGTAACTGGATTTTAGATTTTTGTATAATAACCAGTCAATAAAATCTATTGCGTTTCCGTGAGTTATAAAATGACCGGAAAGTCCACTCCTGATATCCTTTTAGTAGTTAATAATTATGTGAAATCGTTATACTTATAGCCTTGTTCATAATCTGATGTCAAGTATAAAAACTCAGAGCCGGTAATGAGTCATCGAAAATATGTAAGTAGCGTTTAGGTTTACTTTCACTTATCGAAAATTCAGTGGCCGTGTCGACCTTCTCTCTTTTTGAATCCAAAAACATATCTTACGAGATTCATGAGCTGTTAATAATAAACAAAGCTTCGTAAGTTAATTTACGATTCGTTAAGATCGTAACTAAGATCGCACACGTTTGTTCTTTTTAAATGCGTTTCGTTACGATAACAATGAACTAATCGTTGTAATCGTTCTCATTATTTTATTCTATTCACCTTCACCATTTTTACGAGGTATCAAAATAAACTCCTATCTTTTAATTTTCGCAAATTATTTTTTCATCAATACGAAAAAAATTACAATAAATATTGTAGAATAATGTTAATAAAAGATATAATATATATTTATTTTACGTTTTTAATACAAAAAAGTAATAATTATCTTCGTTTTTCTATTTATATGGGATTATTTGTATCGTAGAGTTTTTGTTTTACGATTAGTAGGAGATGAAAATATTAAAGAAAAAAGTTAATCTAAATTATAGACATATTTATTTCATGTATATTTATATTACTTTAATTAAAAATAATTAACTTTTTATTTTGTATTTTTAATACGTTTCATATTCGAGTATCAGTGATGAGATTTTATTTCAACCGTTCGATTAAATATTATACCACATAAATAGAAGTCTCTCTATTTTTATTCTCTCTAATTTGTATTCTTTATTAATTTATATCTTCCTCATCACGATCTATATGTAAATTATTTTAAAAAAATTTTGATAGAATTATTGCGTGAAAATAAAACGATAAGTTACACACGATTAATATTTATTACATTCCACGTATATTATTAATTAAAATAAAATATAAATAGTACAAAAAGTATAAGGATTGGTAAAATTAAATATGAAAATGTAAAATATGTCATAGAAAAATAATGAAAATCAAAGTGATTTGACGTTTGACTTTTAACAACAAAGTTGATAAATTTAATTGAATATATTATTGAATATTTTGACGATTTTTTGGGTCAATTTTGAACAAATCTGGAAAGAGTTTTTTTTTCTTTTAATTATAAAAATTGATTAGGATTAAATTATCTTTTATTATGAGTTTAAAAATGAATGTAATTAAAAATATTTCGCTTCTTAGAAAGAGGGATCAGGGAAGCCGTGTGAAAGATTGAATATTGAGAAGTAAACGTTTCTGTTGGACGATAACAAGCTTTATCGTTTTACTCACTTCACGGATGTTGTACGACGTTTGTTTTGCGGAAGATACGCATTCCCCTTCTGTCATATATAAAACTTGCCTCACAAAATTATGCGAGAATTCTAAATGACAAAAAAAAAAAAAAAAGATCGAGGTCAAACGAAAAAATTAAACAAAAATAAACTAACCGTGTGAATCTCTTTTATTATTTTTTATTTTATTTTTATTTTATTTTATTATTATTTTTTTTAATACAAAGATACGACTAAAATTATCCCCTTTTTTTGGTGCAAAAGAAAAGAGAGAAACTTATATAAAGTTAAACTTATCTTCCAATGAAAATAAATAATTAATTTTAATGGCGAAAGATAATCAAATAAAACAGATGTATGAATATTGGATACTTCAGAAATTGTTTGTTCAACTTTGAACAATTTTATAGGTATATAGTATATTTTATTTTACAAAGTAGTACTCTTTTTTTCTAGTTGTCAAAAAAATATAAGTTTCATTTATTTAATTAACATAATTATCTATATAGCATAACAAAAACGAAACAAACATGTACCTTTAGTGTTGCAAAAATATTCAGATATTTAAGAGAATAATATTCTTATACAAGTTATTAATAAAAGTAAATCAAATTTTAATAATTCTAATATTTCGTTGGATTTTCCTTTTATTTAAAAACATATTGCAATCGTGTTGGCACATTCAAAATAATTTTCTTTAAATAATCTACTGGCATCCGTTCTCATTTTTCAGTTAAACATATTTTAGTTTCTCTTTTGATCTTTTTGGTGTTTTTCATATATTACTATCTAATTCATTCCATAAGTTCTCAGCAAAGTTTAAGTCTGATAACCGTGATGAAGGATTCAAAACTTTTGGACAATTATATAATAAGTAATCTTGGAAAATACGTGATTTGTTTCTGGAATCGTTGTCTTGGTCAAATTGAAAATCAGCACGAACGTTCATTTTTATAGTATTTTTTATTAAATCGTGTTTCAAAAGATCGAAATATTCGTTTTTGTTTAAAATAGTTTTAACGAAAACTAATTCGGCTACTTATATTCCTATGATTATAATAATGACAAAAATATTTTTAAAAAACGTGGCTATGGAAATGTTTTGTTTTCGAATTACAGTCACTCAAAGATATTTTTTTTTACATGAATTTTTTCATAATTAAATACTGTAAAATATGTCTAGTAAAAAATTTGGTATTACTTTTCTACAATGTATATCATTTTTTTTTCATTAAAATGTAAAAAGATTTTTATAAGGATTTTTCTTCAAAAATATTTAATGCTCGCCTTATTGGAATTATTTTTGGAGAAATTCTTTATGTCAATTCGCTAATAATAATTATTTAATAATGTATAAGTAATTTATTATTTAATAATAATTATTTTTATATAATTTTTAAGTAATTTATTATAACAATTACTTAATAATACTTAAATTGTTTATTAAGTTCGTTTAAATGCAGTGCTTCAAATTTTGAAAACAAAAGAGAAGAAAAACCTTTGACTCTGAAATAACTTATCTGAAATTTTTCCATTATTCTATAATTATAGTAACATACTTATCAATCTTATACAACCAATCCTGTATATGAGTTCAAAATTACATATGGCTTTATGGAGAATTAATAATAAAACAAAAAAGAGAGAGGAAGGAACTAAGCTCGAATGATCGCTCATATTTGAGATATGATTTTGCATCGGTTGGATATGATTTGTATGTTAGCGAGACACGCGTTCGATGGGGAGAATAAATGAGTACGAGAAAGACAAGAAGAAGATAAAAAAGAAAGAAAAAAAGGGAGAGAAAGAGAGTGGGAGAGATAGAGATAGAAGGGAACACAGTCTTCATGGTTTGCATTGTCCCAACAAACGTTGCTTTCACTTCCTCGCATGAAATGTACCCAAGCAAAGTAACGCTAAGTTCTCGAACCGGTTCCCAATCGATTCAAACAAATCATATTTTTTCACTTTTATTTTTTTTTATATTATCGTCCATCATCTAATTTAAGGACAGTACTGAAATAAGTATAGAGTTCGTTAAAAAAAAAATCGTATAGGCAATTTTACTCATGGCTACAAATGATGTCCATAACAAAGACAAAATGGCGGCGGAAAGTAATGAATTTTTCTTTCAACAAGATAGTGCATCGTCACGTTATTATTAAAACGTCCCAGTCTATTTGAAAGAGAATTTGCAAGGGCACTGGCTAGGACAAGGGTCGGGAACCTGTGACTCCGGAACCACGTGCAGCTCTTAGAT